CTCCGGTAGAGGGTCCACCGCCTGTCCAGTCGCAGTCCCTACTGGAGCCTTCCTCTCCACTGCCTGCTCCCTCTCCTTACACTGGTCCTACTGGAGGTCTTGCTGAGCGCCGTGAGCCTGCGTCTCGTCCCGCGTCGCCTGTTCGTGCTGCTCGCGCTAGTGGTCGCAGTTCGCGTCAGCGTCCTCCTCCTGTCCCTGGCACGCACCGGATGTCTCTGCGTCCGTCCACTGCTCCTCTGCGTGCCCCTTTGCCTTCTCCTCCTGCGTCCTCTCTTCCTGCGCTTGCCGACCCTGAGTCGGACTCTCTTCGTGCTGCCAGTCCTACTGTCACGCGTCTGCTTGCTACTGTCGTCACTGACCCCTCTTTTGAGTCCACTGCTGCGTCGGCTCTAGTCGCTGAGCTCGTCGACTTTGCTGCTCGCTGTCGTCTCGACTACGCTGCTAGTCTTGTTGCTGAGTCTGCGTCTGTCTGTCCTCCGTCCGTCGGGGGTGAGTGTGCTCTTGGCACGGACGTCCTTGAGGACAGGCAGGAGGAGTTACAGTGTCTAGCGGCTGCTTCACCTCATCTCGCGTCTGTACTGCTTGCCCCTGAGGGAGACCCGGATGCACTAGACATCCTGACTCCGCGTTCTTACGCGGAGGCCGTAGAGGGTCCCTACTCCTCTCAGTGGCAGGCAGCTATGGATGCAGAGATGGCTTCCTGGAAGTCCACAGGCACCTACGTTGACGCGGTTCCCCCTCCCGGGGCGAACATCGTCAGTGGCATGTGGATCTTCAGGGTGAAGCGGCCGCCGGGCTCTCCACCTGTCTTCAAGGCACGGTACGTCGCTCGTGGCTTCACTCAGCGGCAGGGAGTTGACTACTTTCAGACCTTCTCTCCCACCCCGAAGATGACTACTCTTCGGGTGCTGCTGCACATAGCCGCTCAGCGCGACTACGAGCTTCACTCTCTCGACTTCAGCACTGCGTTCTTGCAGGGTAGCCTGCACGAGGAGATCTGGCTTCGCCGTCCACCTGGCTTCACTGGGACTTTCCCTCCTGGCACCCAGTGGAGCCTCCGACGGCCAGTCTACGGTCTCCGCCAGGCACCGCGTGAGTGGCACGACACACTGAGGACTACGCTTGCGGCCCTTGGGTTTGCTCCTTCTACTGCTGACCCGTCGCTGTTTCTTCGCACCGACACTTCCCTGCCGCCGTTCTACATCCTCGTGTACGTTGACGACTTGGTCTTTGCCACAGCGGACACTGCTGGACTCGCCTACGTGAAGTCCGAGCTGCTGAAGAGACACACGTGCACAGACCTGGGTGAACTGCGCAGCTACCTTGGCTTGCAGATCACTCGGGACAGAGCACGCCGCACCATTACCTTGACTCAGTCACACATGGTGCAGCAGGTCCTTCAGCGCTTCGGCTTCACGTACTCCTCGCCTCAGGCCACTCCTCTGCCTACTCGCCACTCACTCTCAGCTCTGCCTTCGGATGAGTCCGTAGAGTCGAGTGGTCCGTATGCAGAGCTTGTTGGCTGCCTCATGTACCTGATGACCTGCACAAGACCTGACCTTGCATACCCTCTGAGCATTCTTGCACGCTATGTTGCTCCTGGGAGACACAGACCAGAGCACATGGCTGCAGCGAAGAGGGTATTGCGCTACCTGTGCAGTACGTCAAGCATGGGGCTAGTGCTTGGAGGGCGGAGTCCAGTGGTCCTTACCGGCCACGCGGACGCTTCTTGGGCTGACGACCAGGCTACGCAGCGGTCGTCACAGGGTTACACCTTCAGCCTTGGTTCCGGCTCTGTCTCGTGGCGGTCTACTCGCTCGTCTTCGGTTCTCGGCTCCAGTTGTGAGGCTGAGATCTACGCCGGGGCCATGGCTGCACAGGAGCTTCGCTGGCTCACCTACCTGCTGACTGACCTTGGAGAGCCGCCTCGTTCTCCTCCAGTGCTGTACGTAGACAACAAGGCCATGCTGGCCTTGTGTCGAGAGCAGCGCTTGGAGCACAGAACGAAGCACATTGCTCTCCGCTACTTCCTTGCTCGTGAGCTGCAGCAGCGTGGTCAGTTGCGACTTGCGTACGTGGCCTCTGAGGCCAACACTGCTGATGTGTTCACCAAGGCACTCGCGCCTTGTGACCATCAGCGCTTTTGCACCCAGCTGGGTCTTGTGCCTGTCTTGCCTCACTTGCTCTCCTCTTGACTTCACTTGTACTGTGACATATATATATACCTGCTCTTGCTTGTCTAGTTTTATATATATGTCTGTACTCCTGCATGTGAACTGGCCTCTGGCCCTGCTCTTGTGCTCGGACTGTGTGGTGACTTTGTGATCCACCCTGAGCTTGCTTTGCTTTGCTTTGCTTGACTGGTCTTGTGACCCCTTGTTCTCCCCCACTTTGCCTATGGGGGTGTGTCAGATTATCATAGCTGATGCATGTTTGTAGGCTATAGTGGGGTAGCACATATGGCGTACAGCTTTCTAGGGTTGTATTTGTACCCAACTCTGACTTAGTCATTCTCATTCGGACAATTACGCAGCACGTGGTGCTTGTTTGTGCGTTTGCTGGCCTGAATCTGTGCAAGGATAGGCCTGTGCGCAACATGTCACTGCGCCGACGTCTGGATGCCTTTTTAACCACTATTTCTTCACACTGTTCTCTAGTAAATTCTATTCCATAGCCATAGGAACTTGTTTGACCTCGTTCGGACAATTTCGCAGCACGTGGTGCTTGTTTGTGCGTTTGCTGGCTTGAATCTGTGCAAGGATAGGCCTGTGCGCAACATGTCACTGCGCCGACATCTGGATGTCCTTTTAACCACTATTTATTAACACTGTTCTTTAGTACATCCTATTCCCTAGTCATAGGAACTGGTTTGACCTCGTTCGGACAATTACGCAGCACGTGGTGCTTGTCTGTGCGTTTGCTGGCCTGAATCTGTGCAAGGATAGGCCTGTGCGCAACATGTCACTGCGCCGACTTCTGGATGCCTTTTTTACCACTATTTCTTCACACTGTTCTCTAGTACATCCTATTCCCTAGCCATAGGAACTGGTTTGACCTCGTTAGCACAACTACGCAGCACGTGGCGCATGTTTGTGCGTTTGCTGGTCTGAATCTGTGCAAGGATAGGCCAGTGCGCAACATGTCACCTCGCCAACGTATGGATGCCTTTTTTACCACTATTTCTTTACACATTTCCCAACCACATCCTATTAACTAGCTATAGGAACTGGTTTGACCACGTTCGCACAAGTACGCTGCACGTGGCGCATGTTTGTGCGAATGCTGGCATGAATCTGTGCAAGGATAGGCCTGTAGGCAACATGTCACCGTTTCAACGCATCGGTGTTTATTTTACATCTATTTCTTCACACGGTTCCCTAGTACATCCTATTCCCTAGCCATAGGAACCGGTTTGACCTCGTTCGCACAACAACGCAGCACGTGGCGCATGTTGGTGCGTTTGCTGGCCTGAAACTGTGCAAGGATAGGCAGGTGCGCAACATGTCACTTCGCCAACGTCTGGATGCCTGTTTTACCATTAGTTATTCACACCTTAATGTTGTACACCCTATTGCCTTACCAAAGGAACTAATTGGAGCTCATTAGCACAGCTACGCAAGGATGTGCCGCATCTCACAATGTCCCCTTATCAAGGTTGCAGCATCTCTACGTGTTATGGTATATATCAATTTAGAAACATAGTTATGCATAATCTGATACACCCTATACTAAAGCATTGTTGTTAGACACGTTATTTCGTCGTACATACATAGAACCAATATACTCAAGCACCTATTTCAATGTCCCTGGTGCTACCAAATATAGCCGTCACATGTAAAAATTATCGGTGGCAAGTTGATGGAATGGTATTAAAACTGACAGTCTAGTTGTAAGAACAAGGGAAATTGAACATATAATAAGAGACCATAACAGAACGGCGTACGGAAAAAGACTGTAAATAACGCATTGTAGGTGTTTTGTGCTGGCAGTCCCACTCTTCCACGTTTTTCCGCTGTTCCGATTATTTTGTTCCCCGTGCACATATGGTGCTGGCATTCCCAGGCCGTTTCATTGGTCGAGCGTGTCGATCGTGACGAGGCAGAGTGACGAGCGTGACGAGGCATGGTGACGAGCGTGACGTGCGTCTATCTGCTGTCGTCTCTGTCTGTTGCTGCGCTGGATTTCATGGTCAGTCCCATTGGACGCCCAATAACAAGCACACCACAAGGCACAGCTCGGCCTGTCCTATTGGTTGCTTCAGAATTGCAAGCAGCACAGCACAGCACAGCATCTTTTCTGTGCTGAACGAAACGGTCAGAAGGAAACATGGGAAACTTTGGATTGGCGCGACGTTAGAGGAACTTACACATGATGCCCGACCAGTGCACGCGAATTTGCCATGCACCGGATGGACACGCTGCCCCCGAACTCGAAACCCCTGCTTGCTGCACCCCATGTATAGGCACCTGGATGGCCTTCTACAGTGCACGCGGCTCGGCCTCTCCCCCACGTGCAGACCACAACAAGCAGTGCCGACCCATGTTTTCCCTTGTTTCTAGGCCATGCGCCAACCTGACGAAACGAATGGACGAAATGACAGTGGTTTCGTAAGTGCATTCGCCCACCTGCCCCGCCACCTAGGCGAGTATCATGGTGCGTGTAACAGACATCTGGGCTGGTGCACGCTGCCACGTGTATTCCGCACTTGTGGGGTACAAGCCCATTTACAACCAGGCGTTGTTCGACAACCCCACGTCAGCTTTGCACTAAGGAGGTAACCCATCCACATGTTCGACATTGTAAGCAACGAGCATGCAATGAACACCCACCACACAAATTCAACCCAGTCAATCCGAACAGGCCCCAGCAACGATCATCCTCGTCCGCCAAATGAAGATTAAAACCGATTAGCAAATTCACTGAAGCATCGCCTTCACCTTATCCCCCACAGCACGCCCACCATGCCGCGACTTAATCGCCGTGAGCAGCTTCCGCTGCACATGAAGCGCGCATTATGCGCGCATCACGTCGAGCACCCCCTTCTGCGTCACGTAGACTTAGCCCGCTGGGTTTACGCCCAGTATGGCCTGCGGCCTGACCGCTCCACGGTCGGACGCATTTTGAAGAATGCCGATCGTTGGGCAATCACCGACCCCGCCGACGCCAATCAAGTGCGCCGTCGTGGTGGCGCATGGCCCGAGCTTGAGCAGGCGATGGCTCGCTGGATCGCTAACGCTGGCCCCGCAGGCGTACCACTCACTCTGCAAACGATCCGCGACCACGTGGCGATTATGGCGCGCAACATGGGCATTCCGCCCGTGTTTCGATGCTCCATTGGCTGGGTGCGCCGTGCGTTGCGGCGCCAGGGAGTGCGGTGCCGTGCCGCCACCGGCGAGGCGGCGAGCGGCGACATGGCTGCTGTGCGTGAAGCGCGTGAGAAGGTGCCGGCGCTTCTTACTCACCTCGGCTACCAGCCGCGCGACACCTACAATCTTGACGAGACACCTCTGTGGCTCTCTGTGCTGCCCCGAAAAACATGCAACAACACCCGCATTCCGGGGCGCAAGGTCTCAAATGAGCGGCTGACCGTCGCGTTTCTCGTCAACGCCGACGGCAGCCATGTTTTCCGGCCGCTCGTCATCAGCAAGGCGCGCCGTCCTCATGACTTCCGGCCGGACTACGACCCCGAAGCCGTCTGCTACTGGCGGCATAACGCCAAGGGCTGGATGACCAGTGCGGTAAGTGTGCACCCGGCCGTGTAATTCTATTTGTGCATGTGTTCTTATGTTACTTATGTTAATTTATAGTTTTCTCAACCCGACCCCCCCCCCCCCCCCCCCCCCACCCTCCATCCCAATCCCCCCCAACAATTGTTCACCAACTTCATATCGCAGCTCAATGCCGCGATGTATGCCGAAGGGAGGGAAATCGCGGTGCTGCTCGACAATGCCAGCTCCCATATGCTGCGGGACGAGTGCGCGTGGAGCGAAATCGTCTGCGGCATGCGGACCACCCGCCTCAGCAACGTGCGCCTCATCTTCCTGCCGCCGAACACAACCGCCTTCACGCAGCCGCTCGACCAGGGGATAATCGCGACCGCGAAGGCCCGCTATCGCCAGCACTGGCTGCGTGCCTTCACGGCGCTGTGGAACGACGACGGCGCAACAAGCGCCGTGGCCCGCTATCGCCCCAATCTGCGCGATGTGCTGGGGTGGCTCTCAGACGCCTGGATGAGTGTCGGTGCGCGCACCATCCAGAGGTGCTTTGCCTATGGGGGTGTGTCAGATCATTATAGCTGATGCATGTTTGTAGGCTATAGTGGGGTAGCACATATGGGGTACAGCTTTCTAGGGTTGTATTTGTACCCAACTCTGACTTAGTCATTCCCATTCCTGTTCATTCTTTTCACATTCTCTACACATGTGCGTTAGTTACCTTTCAAACCCTTATGTTCACTCGATTAATATATTTCCTACCTTATATTTGAGTGAGACCACTAGATTCCGTGTACTATGCGAGATCTAAGCGGTTCCGTTCTCCCAAGCATTTGCACTCTAAGTTCTCATACTGACCGACCTGGCCAATGCACCATTTTCCATATACATATGCATTAGATTTCTTTCGAACCTTATTAGCTCACTAGATTTATATATTTTGACAAATGAGCGTTTCCGTTCTCCCTGGCCCCACTTGAACTATAAGTGCGAAATGCCGGGCAGACTGGCCGATGCACCATTTTCTCTACACATGTGCGTTAGTTACCTTTCAAACCCTTACGTTCACTCGATTAATATATTTCCTACCTTATATTTGAGTGAGACCACTAGATTCCGTGTACTATGCGAGATCTGAGCGGTTCCATTCTCCCAGGCAATTGCACTCTAAGTTCCCATATTGACCGACCTGGCCAATGCACCATTTTCCATATACATATACATTAGATTCCTTTTGAACCTTATTAGCTCACTAGATTTATATATTTCCCACCTTCTGATCGAGTGAGACCGCTAGATTCCCTTTACTTTTTGAGGAACGAGCGTTTCCGTTCTCCCTGGCCCTACTTGCACTATAAGTGCGAAATGCCGGCCAGACTGGCCGATGCACCATTTTCTCTACACATGTGCGTTAGTTACCTTTCAAACCCTTACGTTCACTCGATTAATAAATTTCCTACCTTATATTTGAGTGAGACCACTAGATTCCGTGTACTATGCGAGATCTGAGCGATTCCATTCTCCCAGACAATTGCACTCTAAGTTCCCATATTGACCGACCTGGCCAATGCACCATTTTCCATATACATATAGATTAGATTCCTTTTGAACCTTATTGCTCACTAGATTTATATATTTCCCATCTTCTGATCGAGTGAGACCGCTAGATTCCCTTTACTTTTTGAGGAATGAGCGTTTCCGTTCTCCCTGGCCCTACTTGCACTATAAGTGCGAAATGCCGGCCAGACTGGCCGATGCACCATTTTCTCTACACATGTGCGTTAGTTACCTTTCAAACCCTTACGTTCACTTGATTAATATATTTCCTACCCTATATTTGAGTGAGATCACTAGATTCCGTGTACTATGCGAGATCTGAGCGCTTCCGTTCTCCCTGGCATTTGCATTTTAAGTTCCGATACTGACCGACCTGGCCAATGCACCATTTTCTCTATACATGTGCGATAGATACCTTTCAAACCTTTTTAGATGACTAGATTTTTATATTTCCCACCTTCTGATCGAGTGAGACCGCTAGATTCCCTCTACTTTTTGAGAAACGAGTGTTTCCGTTCTCCCTGGCCCCACTTGCACTATAAGTGCGAAATGCCGGCCAGACTGGCCGATGCACCATTTTCTCTACACATGTGCGTTAGTTACCTTTCAAACCCTTACGTTCACTCGATTAATAAATTTCCTACCTTATATTTGAGTGAGACCACTAGATTCCGTGTACTATGCGAGATCTGAGCGATTCCATTCTCCTAGACAATTGCACTCTAAGTTCCCATATTGACCGACCTGGCCAATGCACCATTTTCCATATACATATAGATTAGATTCCTTTTGAACCTTATTGCTCACTAGATTTATATATTTCCCATCTTCTGATCGAGTGAGACCGCTAGATTCCCTTTACTTTTTGAGGAATGAGCGTTTCCGTTCTCCCTGGCCCTACTTGCACTATAAGTGCGAAATGCCGGCCAGACTGGCCGATGCACCATTCTCTCTACACGTGTGCGTTAGTTACCTTTCAAACCCTTACGTTCACTCGATTAATATATTTCCTACCTTATATTTGAGTGAGACCACTAGATTCCGTGTACTATGCGAGATCTGAGCGGTTCCGTTCTCCCAGGCATTTGCGCTCTAAGTTCCCATACTGACCGACCTGGCCAATGCACCATTTTCCATATACATATGCATTAGATTCCTTTTGAACCTTATAAGCTCACTATATTTATATATTTCCCACCTTCTGATCGAGTGAGACTGCTAGATTCCCTCTACTTTTTGAGAAACGAGCGTTTCCGTTCTCCCTGGCCCCACTTGCGCTTTGAGTGCGAAATGCTGGCCAGACTGGCCGATGCACCATTTTCTCTGCACATGTGCGTTAGTTACCTTTCAAACCCTTACGTTCACTCGATTAATATATTTCCTACCTTATATTTGAGTGAGACCACTAGATTCCGTGTACTATGCGAGATCTGAGCGCTTCCGTTCTCCCTAGCATTTGCATTTTAAGTTCCGATACTGACCGACCTGGCCAATGCACCATTTTCTCTATACATGTGCGATAGATACCTTTCAAACCTTTTTAGCTGACTAGATTTATATATTTCCCACCTTCTGATTGAGTGAGACCGCTAGTTTCCCTCTACTTTTTGAGAAACGAGCGTTTCCGTTCTCCTTGGCCCCACTTGCACTATAAGTGCGAAATGCCGGCCAGACTGGCCGATGCACCAATTTCTCTACACATGTGCGTTAGTTACCTTTCAAACCATTACGTTCACTCGATTAATATATTTCCTACCTTATATTTGAGTGAGACCATTAGATTCCGTGTACTATGCGAGATCTAAGCGGTTCCGTTCTCCCAGGCATTTGCACTCTAAGTTCTCATATGGACCGACCTGGCCAATGCACCATTTTCCATATACATATGCATTAGATTCCTTTCGAACCTTATTAGCTCACTAGATTTATATATTTTGACAAATGAGCGTTTCCGTTCTCCCTGGCCCTACTTGCACTATAAGTGCGAAATGCCGGCCAGATTGGCCGATGCACCATTTTCTCTACACATGTGCGTTAGTTACCTTTCAAACTCTTACGTTCACTCGATTAATATATTTCCTACCTTATATTTGAGTGAGACCACTAGAATCTGTGTACTATGCGAGATCTAAGCGGTTCCGTTCTCCCAGGCATTTGCACTCTAAGTTCTCATACTGACCGACCTGGCCAATGCACCATTTTCCATATACATATGCATTAGATTCCTTTCGAACCTTATTAGCTCACTAGATTTATATATTTACCACCTTTTGATCAAATGAGACCGCTAGATTCCCTCTACTTTTTGAGAAACGAGCGTTTCCGTTCTCCCTGGCCCCACCTGCACTATAAGTGCGAAATGCCGGCCAGACTGGCCGATGCACCATTTTATCTACACATGTGCGTTAGTTACCTTTCAAACCCTTTCGTTCACTCGATTAATATATTTCCTACCTTATATTTGAGTGAGACCACTAGATTCCGTGTACTATGCGAGATTTGAGCGGTTCCGTTCTCCCAGGCATTTGCACTCTAAGTTCCCATACTGACCCACCCGGCCAATGCACCATTTTCCATACACATATGCATTAGATTCCTTTCAAACCTTATTAGCTCACTAGATTTATATATTTCCCACCTTATGATCGAGTGAGACCGCTAGATTCCCTCTACTTTTTGAGAAACGAGCGTTTCCGTTCTCCCTGGCCCCACTTGCACTACAAGTGCGAAATGCCGGCGAGACTGGCCGATGCACCATTTTCTCTACACATATGCGTTAGTTACCTTTCACACCCTTACGTTCACTCGATTAATATATTTCCTACCTTATATTTGAGTGAGACCACTAGATTCTGTGTACTATGCGAGATCTGAGCGGTTCCGTTCTCCCAGGCATTTGCACTCTAAGTTCCCATACTGGCCGACCTGGCCAATGCACCATTTTCCATACACATATGCATTAGATTCCTTTCAAACCTTATTAGCTCACTATATTTATATATTTCCCACCTTATGATCGAGTGAGACCGCTAGATTCCCTCTACTTTTTGAGAAACGAGCGTTTCCGTTCTCCCTGGCCCCACTTGCACTACAAGTGCGAAATGCCGGCGAGACTGGCCGATGCACCATTTTCTCTACACATATGCGTTAGTTACCTTTCACACCCTTACGTTCACTCGATTAATATATTTCCTACCTTATATTTGAGTGAGACCACTAGATTCTGTGTACTATGCGAGATCTGAGCGGTTCCGTTCTCCCAGGCATTTGCACTCTAAGTTCCCATACTGGCCGACCTGGCCAATGCACCATTTTCCATATACATATGCATTAGATTCCTTTCCAACCTTATTAGCTCACTAGATTTATATATTTCCCACATTCTGATCGAGTGAGACCGCTAGATTCCGTTTACTTTTAGAGAAACGAGTGTTTCCGTTCTCCCTGGCCCCACTTGCACTATAAGTGCGAAATGCCGGCCAGACTGGCCGATGCACCATTTTCTCTACACATGTGCGTTAGTTACCTTTCAAACCCTTACGTTCACTCGATTAATATATTTCCTACCTTATATTTGAGTGAGACCACTAGAACCGTGTACTATGCGAGATCTGAGCGGTTCCGTTCTCCCAGGCATTTGCACTCTAAGTTCCCATACTGACCGACCTGGCCAATGCACCATTTTCCATATACATATGCATTAGATTCCTTTCGAACCTTATTAGCTCGCTAGATTTATATATTTCCCACCTTCTCATCGAGTGAGACCGCTAGATTCCCTTTACTTTTTGATAAATGAGCGTTTCCGTTCTCCCTGGCCCCACTTGCACTAAAAGTGCGAAATGCCGGCCAGACTGGCCGATGCACCATTTTCTCTACACATGTGCGTTAGTTACCTTTCAAACCCTTACGTTCACTCGATTAATATATTTCCTACCTTATATTTGAGTGAGACCACTAGATTCTGTGTACTACGCGAGATCTGAGCGGTTCCGTTCTCCCAGGCATTTGCACTCTAAGTTCCCATACTGACCGACCTGGCCAATGCACCATTTTCCATACACATATGCATTAGATTCCTTTCAAACCTTATTAGCTCACTAGATTTATATATTTCCCACCTTCTGATCGAGTGAGACCGCTAGATTCCATCTACTTTTTGAGAAACGAGCGTTTCCGTTCTCCCTGGCCCCACTTGCACTATAAGTGCGAAATGCCGGCCAGACTGGCCGATGCACCATTTTCTCTACACATGTGCGTTAGTTACCTTTCACACCCTTACGTTCACTCGATTAATATATTTCCTACCTTATATTTGAGTGAGACCACTAGATTCTGTGTACTACGCGAGATCTGAGCGGTTCCGTTCTCCCAGGCATTTGCACTCTAAGTTCCCATACTGACTGACCTAAACAATGCACCATTTTCCATATACATATGCATTAGATTCCTTTCGAACGTTATTAGCTCACTAGATTTATATCTTTCCCACCTTCTGATCGAGTGAGACCGCTAGATTCCCTCTACTTTTTGAGAAACGAGCGTTTCCGTTTTCCCTGGCCCCACTTGCACTATAAGTGCGAAATGCCGGCCAGACTGGCCGATGCACCATTTTCTCTACACATGT